ACACGCATGCACTGGCAATTGAGCACAGAGAAGGACCCTGGCCAGGGGTCTTTGAGCACTGCTGGCCCAAGCAATGGAGAAGGACCAGTAAGGAAGGCACTTTGGGTGTCAGCTGCCAGAGGCGAGAAAAGAATCCTAATAGAGTCATATCGCCTGTGCCCATGACCACTGGCTTCTCTGCACTCCTGGCACCACCAAGGCTCCTGCAATCAAAGCAGCTGCACCACCTCCATGCCCGGTCCTCACTGGAGCAGACCCAAGTCCTTTAGAGCATCCTTGGAAGCAAACTCCTGTGGGTGATGCACATGCAGAGATGGGGATAAAACCACCACTGAGCTCCAGGGGCAGAGCGACAAAGGAAGAGGTTTGAAAACCTTCCTATCAGCTGTCTAAGCTACAGATTAAATTCACACAGTCAACTGGATAGACTCTATGTCTACAGACTATATAAAAGGACAATGAGTGCTTCCACAAAAGAAAACACTCTAGCTCTGGCAACAGGGGTCACTGGAGACAATCAAATGCAGGAGAAGGGCCAGATAGAGTCTAAGCTGTCCCCACATCAAGTCCAGGGACCAGGCCTCCCCAGCACTGGAGGGTCTTCTAGGAAGGCACAAGTGAGCTGTGGCTCACAGTGGGAGAAAGGAGACTGGAGAAAAACATTTATTTTTATCCTTATGTTTTCATTTGTTCTGCAATTCATTCTGGAATTTTTTTTTCTTTTCTCTTTATACTTTCTTTCTTGTTGTGGTTGCTGGTTAAAACAACAAAGCCTGGATGACAACACATCTGTTTACAACATGGTCAACCAAATATTGTAAGCTCACTGTTGAGGCCCTACCACACAGAAAAACAACAACAACAACAAAGATTCTTTCAAAATATTACTGCTCACTGACAATGCATCTGGTAACCCAAGAGCTGAGATAGAGATATACAAGATTATTGTATATCTTGTATATCTTTTCATGACTACTAACACGATATCCATTATACAGCCCTTGGATTAGGAAGTGATTTTAACTTTAAAATCTTAATATTTAAGAAATACATTTTCTAAGGCTATAGCTGCCATAGATAGTGATTCCTCTGATGAATTTGAGTAAACTGAAAATCTTTTAGACAGAATTCACCATTCTTTATGCCATTAAGAACACTTATGATTCATTGAAAGATATAATATCAATATTCATAGGAGTTTGGAAAAAATTCATTCTGATCTTCATGGATGACTTCGAGTGGTTCAAGACTTCAGTGGAAGAAATAACTGCAGATGTGGTAGAAATAACATGACAATGAAAAGCAAACATGAGCTTAAAGATATGACTGAATTGTTACAATCCCATGATAAAACTTTAAATGATGAGAAGCTGATTCTTACTGATGAGCAAAGAAGATTGTTTCTTGAAATGGAATCCACTCTAGGTCAAGATACCATGAAGATTGTTGGAATAACAGAAAAAGGATTTAGAATATGATATAAACTTGGTTGATAAAACAGTGGCAGAGTTTGAGAAAACTGACTTCAGTTTTGAAAGAAGGGCTACTGTGGGTAAACTGCTATTAATTAACACTGAATGTTACAAAGAAATCACCCATAAAGGAAAGAGTCAATCAGTGTAGCAAGATTCAATATTGTCTTCTTTTAAGAAATTGCCTCAGACCATGACTTTCACCAACCACCACCTTGATCACTCAGCAGTTATCAACAACTGAAGGTTAGCAATTTCTAATCAATAAAGCATTTTTAACTAAGGCATGCACATGGTGCTTTAGACATAATGCAGTTGTACACTTGAATAGGCCACAGTATAGTGTAAACAGAACTTCTATACTTAGACATACTGATATGCCAAAAAAATCATGACATTTATTTTATTTGCTATTTCTGCTTGACTGATATATTCACTTTACTGTGCTGGTCTAGAACTGAACCCGGAATATTTCTGAGGGATGCCTGTGATGGCAAACTAAATCTAAAGCTTATGTGGGAAGGTAAGAGATGCTGAAAACACACCAAAATACTGAAGAATAAAATCGGAAAATTGAAAGTATCTGATATTAAGACTATAGTAACCCAGAAATGTAACATTGTTTTATGAGTAGACACATAATTCAATGAAGCAGAATAAAGAGCCCAGAAATTTACCTACACACATAGGCAACTGACGTTTGATAAAAGATCAAAGGCAATGGAGAAAGGATGGTCTTTCTAACCTATAATAGTGCCAGAAAAACTGGAAATTCATGGGCAAAAAACTTAAATTCTAGACAACTGACTTTACACCTTTCACAAAAACAAAATTCAAAAATGGATCATAATCTTAAAAGTAAATGTAAAACTATTAAAATTTTGAAAGATAACATAGGAGAAATTCCAAGTGACCTTTGGTTTGGATATGTTTTTTTGATAAAACACCAAAAGCAAAATATAGAAAAGAGAATAATTGATAAGTTGGAACTCATTAAAATTAAAACTTCTACAAAATACACTGAAAAGACAATGGAATGTCAAGCCATGGACTGAGACAACAAATTGAAAATATATCTGATAAAATATTTGTGATCCAAAATATACATAGAACCCTTAAAATAACAACTCAAAAGTTGATCAAAAGCTCTAAACAGTCATCTCACAGAAGATTGCAGATGGCAAACAAGTAAAATATGAAAATATGCTTAGCTTCACAATTCATTAGAGAATTGCGAGTTAAAAAATTGAGTAACCACTTATTAGAATCCAGAACATTGACAGCACTAAATCTTGACAAACTTGCAGAGTAACAGTAACTTTCATTCATCACTGGTAGCAATGGAAAATGGTATAGCCACTTGGAAGATAGTTTGGTAGTTACATAAAAAGCTAACCATAGTCTTACCTTATGATCAGCAAAATTCCACACCCAGGTGTTTAGACAAATAAGTTGAAAATTAAAGCCCACACAAAACCCAGAATGCATGTTTATATCAATCTTACTAATAATTGCCAAAAACTGGAAGCAACCAAGAAATCTTCAGCAGATGAACAGGTAAGCAAGCTGTGATAAACCCATACAATGGAATATTACTCAGTAATACAATAAAAAGAAATGAGCTATCAGGTCATGAAAAGACAGAGGAAACTTAAATGCATATTATTTTGTGAACAAAGGTAATCTGAAAAGGCACAGCTGAAATGGCCATGGTTGGTGTTTTCAACCATATGACAGTCTAGGAAAGGCAAAAACTATAAAGATATTAAAACCACCAGTAGTTTCCAGAGAAGAGGGATGAGTAGGGGCAACAAAGGATTTTCAAGGCAGTGAGACTCTTCGGTGTGATACTGTAATGCTACGGGACTTCCCAGTGGCTCGGTGGTGAAGAACCTGCCTGCAATGAAGAGGCGTGGGTTTGCTCTCTGGGCTGGGAAGATCCTCTAAGGAGGGCACAGCAACCCACTCCAGTATTCTTGCCTGGAGAATCCCATGGACTGAGGAGCCTGGTGGGCTACCATTTACAGATAGCAAAGAGTCGGACATGACTGAATCGACTACGCATGCACACACGCGGGCACTGTGATGCTCTATGATATGCATTTCTCAGAATCTGTAAAACTGTGACACAAATAGTGAGCTCTGGTGCAAACTATTGATTTTAGTCAGTAATATAGCAATACTGGTTCAACAATTGTAACAAACACCTAATAAGAGAGAAACTGTGTGAGTGTGTATATAAGTTGGGGGTGGGAGGGTTGAGAATAACTGCATTATCTGCTCAACCTTTCTGTAAACCTAAAATGGCTCTAAAAATAAAATCTATTTTTTTTTAACCTGGATATATTTTATTATTTCTAAAAAATTACCTAGAGTTTATTCTGGGTGTTCTGTTAGAAAGTAATACAACTATGACTAAAGATAGTTTTATTTCTTTAAAAATCATTACATCTTTTATTTTATTTTATTACAACTAAAAGTAGCTGTGCAATGTTGTTGGAAGCGGGTAGAAAGAGCAAGTACTTTGTTGTTTTCCTTAACAGTATTTTTCCCAACACCTCACATTATAGTGTTCATGTTATATGTGAAATACATAAGGCAGAGGTGATTTTTGTTTTTGTAGATGCCACTTTTCTGATTAAACCTCTTCTTTGCTTTAATTCCAAATTATCATAAGTGGAATTAAATTTTCTTGAACACATTTTTGTATTAAGGTGATCATATAGAGAATTTCCTTTAATATACCATATTACTTTTAAGACAGAAGGGAGACCAGCCCTGGATTACTAAATTACGTTGAATGACCATGGATTATACTTCTCTTGCATCCTGTTGCTTCCCTTTCAAAATGGGCATTGCATTCATATTGCTGTTCAACTTCTCCATATGACTGTAATACCATGAGGAAAGGTGAAGTCTCTAGGCTTTATTTATTGTTATACCTCAAGAACCTAGCACTGTTCTTTGTCCAAACTGGGACTCAAAAAAATGTTCAATTAATTAGTGAATAAATATGAACATCTCCACCAGGAGCCAACTGCCACTCCAGATTGGAAGATACTCTCATCCCTTGGGCATCCTTCATTGCAGACAAGAACAGAAGATACATTGCATCATTGTCAAAAATAGAAAGTGAAATGGTTGCACTAATACTAAAAGTTAATTAATAATTCAAAGACATATTGTTTACATTGCAATTATTTACATACTTTGATAATTTTTTTGATCATGAATACTTGTTAAAGAATGTTGTGTATTAGAATATTCATTTGAAAATTTCTCAGAATATTAGAATTTGCTAAAGAAGTTGGAAGATTGAGTTTACAAGTGTTTCAAGAAAGGCCTGTGTACTGGGCCCCCAAATGGACAACTTATTCTCTTAATTGCAATTTTTGGTTCCTTATGTTACCAGAACATCACTATATGTTACCATGGAGTCAGTGTGTATAAGATCTCAACAAAAATGTCAAATAGTTGTAAAAAATGGAAAAACAAAACAAAACAATAAATCATCCTTAGTTATTTTACCTGTAAGTGATGTGCTTGTGCTGCCACTTCTGGCCTGTTAATGCGTACCGCTTTCGGCGAATATTAAATTTGGAGCTCCCTCTTGTCTGGTCAGGCACACCGCATCGAGGCTTCTTCATCCAGCTGCAAAAAGCAACATTTTCCAGTTATTACCCAACAAATCTAAAGATTAATTGCAAAAAGAAGCCCAATGAGAAGTTATGACAGTGATAATAAAACTGGGAAAATAAATTAATAAAGGACATTTTATTAAAAATATATATTAAAAATTTATTTTAAAAAGGAAATTTTGTGTTTTATCGCATCTGAATCTAAGAAAAAAGTATATGTTTTTTTCCTAAATGATCAAGAATAACTAGTTCATAATTCATATCCTTTACATAATTTTTCTAATTCACTTTGAGTTAAATGTGGAGGAGGTATTCTGAAGCTTCTAACTAGAATCTGTTCTTAACAAGATATATGACTTTGGATAACTCTCATTCATAAAATGAGACTTTGTACAATAAATTATAACTAAGGTCTCTTATAGCTTTACATTCAACATCCAATAATTTTAAAAATCTACTACATGGCCTTAAATTCCAGGACTCAAGGAGATATTCAGATGACACCACCCTTTTGGCAGAAAGTGAAGAAGAACTAAAGGGCCTCTTGATGAAAGTGAAAGAGGAGAGTGAAAACGTTGGCTTAAAGCTCAACTTTCAGAAAACTAAGATCATGGCATCCGGTCCCATCACTTCATGGGAAATAGATGGGGAAACAACGGAAACAGTGACTGACTACATTTTGGGGCTCCAAAATCACTGCAAATGGGGACTGTAACCATGAAATTAAAAGACACTTACTCCTTGGAAGGAAAGCTATGACCAACCTAGACAGCATATTAAAAAGCAGAGACATTACTTTGCCAACAAAGGTCTGTCTAGTCAAGGCTATGGTTTTTCCACTGGTCATGTATGGATGTGAGAGCTGAACTATAAAGAAAGCAAAGCACTGAAGAATTGATGATTTTGAACTGTGGTGTTAGAAAAGACTCTTGAGAGTAACTTGGACTGCAAGGAGATCCAACCAGTCAATCCTAAAGGAAATCAGTCCTGAATATTCATTGGAAGACTGATGTTGAAGCTGAAACTCCAAAACTTTGGCCACCTAATGCAAAGAACTGAGTCAATGGAAAAGACCCTGATGCTGGGAAAGATTGAAGGCGGGAGGAGAAGTGGATGACAGAGGATGAGATGGTTGGATGGGATCACCAATTCAATAGACATGAATTTGAGCAAGCTCCGGGAGTTGGTGATGGACAGGGAGGCCTGGTGTGCTGCAGTCCATGGACTCACAATGAGTTGGACACGATTGAGCGACTGAACTGAACAAGGAGATATATGCTACTCTTTTCTAGCTTACACATAAGGAAATTATTTTAAAAATCCAAATAACATTTGCCTTTTTTCATTTTTTTCTTCTTTTCATTTTAAGCATTATTCCAATTTCTAAATAACAGCCATTCTCTCTGAATTCTTCATAATAACCAAACTTAATGCTTAAGAATTTTTTTCTGAATATGAGGTTTAGTATCACACAAATAAAATTTAAATATTAACATTAGGAAAATAAAATGTTGGTTTTGACTTATTGATTGTTAATGCTTATATAAATACAGTTGTCTAACTTTTTTTTGGAAGGTCTCATTTGACCATTGTCATGTTTTCTATGTACTTTCCTCTTGTCTACAGAGAAACATTTTCATGATTTTGATAAGTTTTTCACTAGTGACTCATAAAATAACTTTACCATTCATTAGGTCATTTAATTTAACAATTACAAACTAAAGCAGAATCTTCATGATGTTACATGGTTCAGAAAGCGGAAATGAGAAAAGAATCAATTTTCATTATATTTCATCAAATACTTAATTTCTATACTCTTTATACAGTAAATAATTGACTACAGAGATGACTGTCTAAAGATGTCCATTCCATGAAAATGAATGAAATAGTTAACATATTACATGGATAAATCAACTAACCAGCTTTTATAAACATAATAGTGTCATGCAACAACGAAAGCACAATTTTTACTTTTTAAGACAGACATCACTTTCCTGATAAGCATTATGCATTTGTCCTCTTCTATTCTGTTGCCAGTAATAATGTAAACACTGGGGTTACGAGGCTTAAAAACGCCATTCTCATTTATAATGCATTGTAGAAGTACTTAAGCAAATCACTTTTTCCCTTTTTTTAAAGTCTCCAAACCAACTGAGATGTCTTGCAAATGCTAATGTCTAGAAGGCTATCCAGCTCTATGAAGCTGAAGTCTCTGGAACTAAGAACTGAGACGTCTTAGTTCCCAGGACTCTCTTAATCACTAAATTTGAAGAACATTTCACTAGACTATAAAACAGTCAAGGGCAGGGGATCGACATACTCCCAGTACCTGTACAATTCCTAGAATTTAAAAGATGCTTAATAAACAGGTCAATAGAGACATTTTTAATTAAAACATATTTTCATTATATTCTATAAGATCTAGATATACTCAGCTAACAAATATTAAGCATTAATGATGGACTTATGAAAATTTCAATGGCTTTTATATATAAGTATTTCATTAATCATACTCTCAACTAAAAATTATATTTCTTAGTTAAGTACTTATTCTGACTTATCTCCCTGAAAGTATTGTGAGGACAAATAATATTTAATTATTACATATTAATAAATTTAGTTAATGTGGGATGTGACTATACTTAACATTTAACTAAAGAAAAGATTTAAGCAAACGCGAGGAAAAATCATTTTAAAATGGATAGCAGGATAAAAGTTTACAATTTGTATTTATACTGATATGTTATGGGGACAAAGTATATTTCCAATGAAGATATATTCTCTAGAATTACTTCCACAATACACAAAATTAAAAGATGAAAACAGTCATTTTTTTTCAACATTCAAACTTATTAACATGAATCTCCATTTTAAGTTGGATCATGTTGGACATGTTGGATCAGTAAAAATTTTCTCAATGAAGCACTGCATACTCCAAAGGACAAGGGTTTTAGGGATGAGTATTAATTTGGTTTCTGTGCTCAAAGATGTCTCTGCTAAGTTCCTTATGTATTTCTTTAGCTTTTTCCCATTTCATATAATTTTTCTTATGCTACAATTATTTATGTACTCATTCCATCCTGATCCATTTTCCTACAATATTTTTAAGCTTTTATAATATGCTAAGAGATACGAAAAACATCTGGATAAAAACATAAGACAAGCTCTTGAAGAGCTCCCAGTCTAAGTTAATACAGCATGATAGGAAAAAAAAAAAAATACAGTATAATTGGTTAAGTATTCTCACATCTCCATATAGCCATCTTGTCACCATTTCTAACTTTACATGTAATTTTAAAATTATGATTTTCCATCCCCGAATTTGCAACAGTTCTTCTGGCAACTTATGTGAGCCAAAAGTCTTTATAAATGTCTAAGTCACATATCCAGGTAACATCTTCCACAGATCCCTTCTCACCTCCAATCAGTCATCATGTAGTCTCTTCTGCCTCCAAAACTTCTCTGTATCTCGCTCTTACCAGCGCCTCCTCACTCCTAAAGATAAATCTTTTCAAAGCACTGATGTATTTCCTACACGTTCTGAGTACAAAATGCTTTTATAGACAGAATCTTACTCAGGCATACTCAGGAAGGGTAAGCCTTGTTCCCTTAATTCCCAAGATCCACACAAGTTCCTACAGAACTGTTATCACTGATCCTGCTCTTGACGCCAACTGTCTTGCTGTTCACACTGTTCGCTGAACCCAGGGCAGGCAAGGCATGAACTAAGAGGATGGAAGGAGACTTGAGGAGCCAGAAGAACTGCAGACTCGTTTATTCGCTCCTGGCTGACACAGCGGCCATAACACAGCCTCTACTGGTTGCTGCCGCAGCTGTAGCAGCAGCCACAACATAACCATAATGGAGCCATAACACGGCCATGACAGCAGCTCATGAAAACAGCCATGACGCCACCCGTGTAGCCCCAGTGCTCTAGCAGCCAGGGCTTTCCTGGGGAAGCTCTCCCAGGCCTATCGCACAAAGCTGCTCATGAGCAAATGAGTACATCGTGAGCAAGCAAGTACCTCGTGACCAGTGAGTACCCCGTGAGGAAGCGAGTACCTTGTGATGAAATGCCATGTGACCAAGCGAGTGCCACGTGACCAAGCAAGTACCTCATGACCAACTGAGTACCTCGTGACCAAGTGAGTACCTCACGATGAAGTACCACTTGACCAAACAAGTACCACGTGACCAAATGAGTACCTCGGGCCGAAGCGAGTACCTCGTGACCAAGCAAGTACGTCATGATGCGCATGCCCAGTGCTATAAGTGATCTCAGCTATTATATAAACATTATTTACAAAACGTGGGGCCAGAGTGAGAGGCTGTGGGGCAAGACCGCCTGACTATGTCATCTTGGCTAATTTGCTGTTTCCCTACAAGAACCAAATACTCTACTGGTTGCTGCCGCAGCTGTAGCAGCAGCCACAACATAACCATAATGGAGCCATAACACGGCCATGACAGCAGCTCATGAAAACAGCCATGATGCCACCCCAGTGTAGCCCCAGTGCTCTAGCAGCCAGGGCTTCCCTGGGGAAGCTCTCCCAGGCCTACCGCACAAAGCAGCTCATGAGCAAATGAGTACATCGTGAGCAAGCAAGTACCTCGTGACCCAGTGAGTATCCCGTGAGGAAGCGAGTACCTTGTGATGAAGTGCCATGTGACCAAGCGAGTGCCACGTGACCAAGCAAGTACCTCATGACCAACTGAGTACCTAGTGACCAAGTGAGTACCTCACGATGAAGTACCACTTGACCAAGCAAGTACCACGTGACCAAGTGAGTACCTCCTGACCAAGTGAGTACCTTGTGATGAAGTACCACGGGACCAAGCGAGTACCACGTGACCAAGCAAGTCCCTCCTGACCAAGCGAGTACCACGTGACCAGGCGAGTACCCTCGTGACCAAATGAGTACCTCGGGACGAAGCGAGTACCTCGTGACCAAGCAAGTACGTCATGATGCGCATGCCCAGTGCTATAAGTGATCTCAGCTATTATATAAACAT